TAGTGGCCCCTTGTTCTGCGTCTTTTTATCAGCCACTGAGAAGAGACGTTTGTGTGCAACAGTGATTCAGCCGCCCCCTCAGATCCCCCCAGGCACTTATAAAGACTGTCCAAATTGAGGGCTCCAGGTGGAGGTCCCATATGGCGCAATAACAGACTAGCAAGTCACCTTTTTTCAGTCCGCTGATTTAGAAGCGTACTGTTTCAATAAGTCAAGCCATCAGACGGTCACTGCAGTCGGTAACATGACTGTTCTGTCTCATGAAGGCAGACAGTGAAGCAGCTCACATACTGACTCTGTATACACATATGAGCATCATCAGACAAACATCAGACACCAGATAATTATTGATTCATGGAAAATGTGGAGGGTCAGCTGAGACTAATCTCATCACCACCAGTGACCACTCAAGTGATTTTACCATGTGAATAGAGACCATTTGTGCTTTGGCTGCTACTTCTTACTAGTTTGATAATAATATTATGGATGCAACAAACCACTGCAGTTTTTAAAACATATTGTTTTGATCATGCATTATGTTAGACACAATTTGTTCTTGTGAAACCTTTGACCAGACAGTCAAAAATAAATAATCCAATTCTTTAGATTTTCTCCAGTTTTTTTTAATTGCTTTTGTAAAACTTTATTTTTTTAAATTTATTTTAATTAAAGGCACAGTGTGTAGGATTTTGTCAATCCTTTTAGCCGAAACTGAGATAATCACTAATGACAATAATAAAAAACATGTCTAATCATTGCAGACAAAGACCTTGTTTTATTATTTTTACCTTATAAAAAGCTGTTTATATCTCCATGGTCGCAGGTCGCCACTACAGGCAGCCGCCATCTTGTCTAGGAAGGCTCATGAAGGACAAACTGCGGTAGCGGCATCAAAAACGGTTTTACTATAAATGTAATATTTGTTGTCTGTCATTGTAGCTGGGATAATTTTACTTATTAAAGCTCATAATCTTACCACTTGAAACATCACTAGCCCTGAAGCTGCTGGTAGACATCGCGGTTGGAATTATCAAAGGTTTTTGACACCTGAGAGACACCGTAGCAACTCCTTTGYGTTTGGAAGCGGGGGGTGGGGGTGGGGGGAGGACCAGGGAGGATGATTCAACCACTCAACCACTAGATGTCGCTGAAAACAACAACTCCTACACACTGTGCCTTTACGTTGCTGATGTATGCAGTAGCTCAGGGGAATAGTATGCTTCAAACTAATTATACATCACCTCACTCGTAGCCCATTTGCGCCACCATTTAGTTCCACCCATTCTCACAAAAATTAGTAAAATTAGCCAAGTTCTATGCACTCAGTTCACTTTGCAATGGATTATTGTGAGACTAAATGAAGTGCTGCACCTACAAAAGAAATGACAGTGGAAAGTCGCTGAGCAGCTTTGCTGTCGTGGGCACATTTTTTAAAATTCTCAGCCTGTGGTTGGCACTTGGTTCATTATGATCTTCTTTCATTAGCTGAAAAAAAGAGCATTTGTCGCGTCAAGGAAGTAAGACATTATGCCTCTGAAAATACCATAATTAAAAAACAAACTGTCAATTTGATTGTATATTTTAGCAAATTGTTACATTCACTTTTAGTCACTGTTTGCCTAGGTTTAGTCACCCAAATGCCTGGTTAGGTTCAGGAAAATATATGGTTTGAGTAGCTTGATAAATGTGAAAAACAAAAGTAGGACTGGAATTCTGCTCCATAATTGTCTTTTAGCATGTCAATGTTTTCTGCTTTTTACAACAGCTAGTTTTCTATGATTAGAGGCAACACTTGGAACAGTTTGAAGAGAGATTACAAATCACAGTTTTTGTTTTGCAGAAAAGAGCCATTAGAATTATTGTGAGAAAACATTACAACCATCCATCAAATRCATTATTTTGCAAACTGAAAATTTTGAAATTCTATGATTTGGTTGACTATAACATTTTACTGTTTATGTACAAGGCTCACAGAAACGTATTACCTTCCAACATTCAGGCAAATTTTGTTAAGAGAGACAGTTGTTATTATCTTAAAGGGATGGAAAAGTTCGTAAAGCCATATTTTTGTACTTGTTTGAGAGAAAGATGCACTTTAATCCAGGGTATAGGATTGTGGAATGGCCTGGAAGATGATCTTAAAAATGCTAGATCTATGTATATATTTAAGGAACAGATAAAAGCTAGTTTTATGAAGGTATATGAAAAGTAAAATGAGAAAATGAATTGTTGTTTGAGTTGATGTTTTTATTTGTAAATTATGTTTCGTTTGAATATATTCTGGAGATAAAAGGGGCAGACATTATAAGATTTATTCTTCTTCTGCTACCTTTCATTTTATTTTGATTTTTGATTTGTGTATTTTCTTGTTTTTTATTGTAAATAGTTATTTTTTAATTAAATGAAAACATTTTTGAATTGAATTGAGATTGGTGTTTATGCAGTAACTGTTTCATCAGTGGTGCTCACTTGTCCATAGAGTAGTCTGTTAAAATGCTACTTGCTTATTAGGTGATTCACTTTTGTGTCAATCAGGTTTTCATCTCCTAGAGTTAGTTATTCCCTTAAACTGTGTCAAATTGCTCCTCAACTTTAAAAACAATGCACAACACAAAGGCTAGAATTTGATACCCGTGAAAGAAGCAGTGGACTAGCAGAACCCTGGATCCTAGGTGAAGTTAGTGGGACTGGCCTTGTGGCCTTGTGGCCCCCCCGGTGGCCCTGCTGAGTTTGTTTAAGCTTCAGTTTCAGACCTTGGCTCTCCACATCTCTGCTGAGCTCTGTTCTTCTTCCCTCCGRTGTCCTGTAGTTCCCATGGCCTCGGACACTCTCCTCCCAGGCCTCGCCCTGAACCAGGAAGTGCCTTGGCTGTCGCACACAGTGTTTTTGTGTGTGTGTCCATTCATGTGTGTGCATCACGCTTTATTCAAAAGGCATCCTGAACAACTGTGAATTTCACTTTTGAACTCCGGGATGAACTTGAAAAAGCAAATTAYACTTGCACTTTTAAAAATATTTTTCTTAGTATTTTAAATTAGCATTTKTGGTGAGTGCAAGACCTTCGAATGAAGTTAAGAACTGTTTTTAGTTGAATAAAGCTTAAACACGAACCCATAGTTTAGAATAAGTGATGTGATGATGTAATTTTGTGAATCTTTCATTTCTGTCACATCATGTTTAGTTTAGATTTGACGTTTTAAAAGCCTAACCATAGAACTGGTGCATATTGATACAGCTTTGTACTGGGCAATTAAACACATAACATTGTTTTATGTGTTGCTTGTGCTTCGAAAGAATGTAAAAAAAAAAATCATTAGACAGTTTCTTTGTGGCAGTGAATTCTTGTTGGACCTGTAACTCTCAGCAGCCATTTGTCTTTGTTGTTGTCAGCGAGGTTGGAGCCATCAGCTTCAGCTTTCCAACGATGACATGGCCCGTAGGCAAACCAGAAGGGAGATACAGAGAGAGAGAAAATAATAAGGTGTGAAATTAATAAAATAAATGTTATACAAAGAAATAAATCAGATTTTCATTAGACCTAATAGTTAAAAGAACTCCATGGAAACTTTGTACTTTTTTTATTTGTTTATTAGGGAAAATAATCCAACGGTAAATTTGCATCAGTACCAAAAATCTATGGAACACAGCTTTGACTCTTTGATGGTCAAGAAAAACACAAAACTTCCCATTGATCAATGCTGGAAAAAAACACAAATGTGTTTTATCCCATCTGTTGTTTTGAGTGTGTATTTAGCCCCATTAGCAAAAAAAAAAAAAGGTCACAGGATGGCCTGCCGGCCTTTTGTGTGGAGTTTGCACGTTCTCCCAGGCGTGAGTGGGAGAGTGAATGATCGTTTGTCTTGTTCGTCTCTATGTGGCCCTGTGAAGGACTTGCGACCTGTCCAGAGCGTACCCTGCCTCTCACACAATGACTGCTAATAGATGAGCACCAGCTTCCGAGACCCAGCAAGGAAAACACGGATGGATGAATGTTGGATGGGCTTGAGGTGAACAACTGTAATTTAATCTCAAGCAAACATTAAACCRACTGTAACTAAAACCCAAACAAATAGTTTTTAGGGAGCTTCCTGTAGTTGTTGGCACATAACAGGGCTGTGTATATCACCTTGTGCAAAACTGTTTTTGTAGTAAAAATATGTTTCAATCCAACCACTTTTCCATTCGATCTTTTATCTAATTTTATTCAGTTAATAGCAGTTCAGAGCTGGATCAAACATTCTTGTAATAATAATAATAATAATAATACATTTTATTTCAAGGTGCCTTTCAAAAACCCAAGGTCACCTTTCAAAAGCATTTAAAAAAAACAGTTAATAAGAACAGAGAAAAAAAAATTAAAAAGATCCATAAAACGACATTTAAAACGAAATTACAGCGAGTATGCCATTTTGAACAGAAGTGTTGATTTGAAAGAGGAAAGAGAGTCTGTATTCCTGATGACAGGAGGGAGGGAATTCCAGAGTAAAGCCTCTGTAGCCCACGGTGACAAGACGGGCAGAAGGAACTGTAAGATCAGTGGCAGTTGTGGATCTAAGGGCACGAGAGAGTAGAGATATGAAGGGGGTCACACAAATAAGGAGGGGCCAGGTTATGGATGCATTTGAAAGTGAGAGTTAAAATTTTTAAATTTATTCTCGCTTCATTGGGCAACCAGTGAAGTTGCTGCAGAACCGGGGTGATGGAGGACAGGTTATGATCCGGGCTGCAGAGTTCTGGAGGAGTTGTAGCCTTTTTTTTTTTTTTTGGATTGAGTGCACGTTGTTAATTTTTTTAAAGTACAAAATCTCACAAACCCTTTCTTCAGACTGTATAAATAAATACAGCTTTACTTACGAAGTAGAGAACAATTAAAAAATAAAATATCCAAATGTGTTGTTGAAATCAGTCACTTTATATAGAGCGATGTACATATGTTTCTCCATACAGTAACTCCTTATTAGTCTGGTAGCTTAACATCTGTTTTTTGATTATTTTTACAGGAGAGTTGACAGTTTCAGAAGAACCAGACTAACTGAAGTGGGACAAAAAAAAAAAAAAAAGAAAATTCAGCTCCCTTTTTTAATCCCAGGTGAGAAAACAAAAGATGAGACAGATCCAGATTAAAGCAAAGACAACTTGTTTATCCACTAAAGAAGTGTTTTCTTATTTCTTTATTTTGCTTTATGATAAATTTACCAAAATTGTGCAGCTTTTATTTTAGATGCATATAGGGTTATTTTATTTGCTGGTCTCTTATAAAAAAATATCCAAGTGACTTATTTTCAAGTTGACAACTATTTAGCAATTTTTTTTCTGTTCTTGTTCATTTTCTGATGGTTTGTTTAGCTCTAATTGTTGTATTTGGCTCATTAACAGGGACATCATATCCATTGTTTCAAACCCATTAAGTACTTCTGGTAAGTTTTTTCTATTTTTAAATTTTTAAATTTTATTTTATTACAGTTCTCATTGAAATTAAAACTGAAATTGCACCATACCTTCGTCATGACACATAAACCATATTTTGAGCTTACAAATAACAGGCAACATTTTACATTTTGCTTATTCTACACAAGGGGAAATTGTAACAACTTCTGACCTTTTGTGTTATTTGATATAGTTTTCTTTTAATATTTGAGGAAGCAAGGTCTCAAATTTTGCCTGATGTTCCCAACAGTAAATGGTTCCTTCTCACAAAAATTTTAATGTGCAAAAGTGATGTTAGGTCCTAACAATAGAAGAGAAGAAGAACTAGTCAGAAAAATTCCTCTTTTATGTGTGTGTATTTCTTCTCTAAGATCAGTGTCATGGCTGCATACGGGCAGACTCAGTACAGCCCGGCCCTCCAGCCTGCAGGACCATACACCCATTACACCCACCACACGCAGGGCTACAGCATGCCGTCTTACAGTAAGTACACAAACAGCAATGTGTTGTGAAAATCATGACTTGCTTTAAAATAATCTCAGTTGGAAAAGTTGTTTGTRACGTGATGGCAAGGTATTCATACAGTTAGGTTTTAATTATGTCTGAGTTAGTGTATCTTTGGGACATAAATAAAACCATACATGAAGTCAACAACAGTAACAATGCAAAAAAAAGAGAACAAAGGGGTCATGAGAGGTAAAATGACCTCTGACATGTAAATGATCAGTTCCTCTTTGGTAATCTGAGTATTCAAAGCAATATATTTACATTTTACTGACACATAAAACTATGCATTCCCCAGGGTAAACCGTTTCATTAACTAATCAACACGTGAGCTCCAAACAACAAAACAATCAAAAAAAGCCTCTTTTTAACTCAAAAAGTTTGTTGGGATAATGGGCATTAGTAAAAATAATTCTCCTAATACAAGAAGTTTGTCCTACATGCTGGTTGGGTTTATTCAACATAAATATTCTGACTTTTTTTATTTATTTTAATGAAATTTTTTTATTGTAGACATTAAGACAGAGGACGGTTTGAGTCATTCTCCGGGGCAGACAGGACTACTGGGCTACTCAAACTTCAGCGGAACGCCTCCGAGTCAAAGTCTCTACAGCTACTCTCACACACACGGTTAGTCGGAAACGCTGCATGGACTGAGAACTAACAGTCGACAGACATTTTTTTGTAAAATACCTTTTGATTTAACCACAGGAGCATCCATGCGTGCTGTAAGTTCCCCTCACATCTCCTCATATCTCTTCTTCTTTAATCTCCTCTCCTTGCCGCCACACCTGTTCTCTATTAGCTGCGGTCTGGGCTCCTGGCGTCAAAAGTCTCTTTCCCCCCTCCCTCCTCTTTTCTCAGGGTCAGGCCCCCTTTCTCCATTCAGACCAACAACACAGCATGCAAGCTCTTGTTTGTTTCTCAGCAAAAAAGAAAAAAAAAAGGGATTTAGAAACTGTGTGGACACAAAGAAGAAGACATAAGTTATGTAGAAAAGAAAAAAAAAAGAATTGTGGCTTCAACAAAAGCTTGGCAGAGGCGTTTTCTGATAAACACATGCTTAGATGAAGACGTGTTATTCTTGGGAGTGTGCGCAGTTCTCCACGTCAGCGGGTGTGTCTGATTGAGTGCGAGTGACGATGCTGTACGCATTCCTCAGTTKTCCGGCGCCCGAAGCTCAGTGCAGCTTTATGGCTTTGAAAGCAGCGTGAAATTGACCTTGTGTGTGACAGGGGAAAGGTTAAGGGGCGCTCTACAGAGGGGTGAGCAGGAATAATGTTGCAGACGCAGCGTGAGCTGTTTCCACTGTACGAATGAGACACAAGAGAGACAAAACCTTTCGAAGGACCCTGAACAAATGACACGGGGATGAGGTTTTTGTTACTACATGCTCGTTCTTTTCATTTTAACGCAAGCCATTTGGCTGCTTTTTAAATAATATTTAGATATTCGTAGAAAAATGCATTTATATTTGCACACAAACTTGAATTATTTCACTCTTTTACTTATAAAAGAATGATAATTAGATAATAGTGACAAGAATGTGCAGCTTATAACCAAGGAATAATGTTTGTATATATAATTTCCAAATAATATTGTACAAAATTTGAAAAAAGTTTTTTTTTATTTTTTATTTTTTGCTACAGAGCTTGTTATTCTCAAGTAAAGCATTTAAGCAGACTTGTCATGACATCACTTGTAAATATTTTTATTTTATTTCAGCCCTTTGACAATCGTGCATCTTATATTTTTTTTTTCCAGAGCTTAACTTTGACTCTTAACAGATGGACCTTGTTCACAAAATTACTCACTTTGTGATGCTGTGATGATAGGTGGTCCTTTAAGATGGGACCTAACCCTTTCAAAATTGTGAGCTATATTATGAAATTCACGTTTAATTCCTCTCCAAAGTCACATTAACTCCTGATCAGCTTTAGTTTTATTATTATTATTTGTTTTAACCTTTGGAGACAATTCTTGTTTTCCACTTTACTTTCTCCTTAAAGAATATTCAGATGTGAGACATTACGCAGGAATGTAAATATTCATGCAAAGCAGCTTTTGATGGAACCCTCCGACGAACTGCAAAGCTCTTTGGGACCGTGCTTTGTTAGAGCACCGCTGTCAGACCTACAAACAGTTTTTAACAGTGTAATTAGAGTTTGAGGGACATTGTTCCCAAACAAAATAAATTTGTTTGAATATTCGTAGGCATAAATTGTTAAATGTGAACTTCAAACGGTAATAAATTGCCACAACATTCAAATATTTGTATGATTTAAGGAACTTTCCATGTCACGCGTTATATTCACACAAAACACAAGAATGCACATGGGGACAGTGCAAAGCCTTCAAAAACTTACTGTACTCCGTGTGAAAAAAACTGAAACCAAGTGGTGGTCTTTTTGTGTTTACTTGAAAGTATTTTTCTTGTTGTCATTCTGAGGACTTTGGTGTTGTCTGCCAAAGTTTCTGCCACAGAGTCGTTATCCTTTTTTTTTTTTTGTCTTTCTTTGTGGCATCAAGAAGAAAAAAAATAGTAAAGGGCAAGATAAATCTTTAGAAAAAATGCTGGAAAATAAACTGGAAAAAACATGCCTTAATAGGTGTTTCAATAATATTAAAACCATGTCRTTGAGAGGAAGCTGGGACTGTTAAACAACTACTGGCTAAAATAATCATTGAAAAACTGATCAGCTCTTAGACGAGTTCTGGGAAATGTTCATCTTTTTGGATGAAAAACAATGTCACACAATGCACTCTTTTGCCATTTTGCTCTGAAAAGTCCTGTTTCTTCCTCTTTGGCCWGAAGCCAGCATTTATGCAAATATACTTTCAAGTTCATAACATCTAGATAACTGCTAGTAACATATTCACTTGTCTTCTTCTTCTGTTTTCCTTTTATTGAAATTTTTTTCTATAAATGCTAAATTTAGTTCAAAATGGCCGGGGGGTGGTGGGATAGGTCGTATCCCATATTTAACAGATTAGAGGTGGCGTTCCCCCTGCAAGATAGGCTCAAGACAGAGACAAACTGCTCTGCACGCTGACACTTTTAAAATGAACTGTTATCACCGTGCATGTTTCTGAGCTGTGATCTAAAACCAGACTACGCAGAGAAAACCTTTCCAATCGCGAGGAGAAAGCACAAACTCCCGAGGAACAGCCACAGCAACGTTTCAAACTCGAACCTTCCTGCTCTGAGGCAACAGTGAAACCATCCAGCCCAACCGCAAACCAGAAATAACTAACCTTAACTGTAGATGTTGTTCAGGGTGAATGGAGGTGATTAGTTTACAAGGAATTGTTTTTTTTTAAATCAGACAAACAAAAACAGGRCAGCCTTGACAGGAGGCTTGAGGTGAGGACAGATTGCTAGGAGGAAGACATTCCTGCCTTAGCTTGATCATATTAGAAGATTCTCACCGCAGSAGCAGGAGCAGTAAAAACAGCAGACTTTCCCACCTGTATTGTCATGTCAGTCATAAATCTCACTCGAAGCTCCTGCAGCTCTGAGCTGTCACCGAGGAAAYAACCTGAGTCTCGCTGCTTCCTCCTCCTTATGCTTCGTAGGTCAGATCAGACGCAGCAGAATTAGATCAGAGGTTTCTTTGCCATTTAAAAAATGAGACCAAAGAATCCACCAGTCCTTTTTTAAAATTATTTAACCCTGTATTAATAAGATTTGTTTTGATATTTGTTCTCTTTGCATGTTACTCAGGCGGTGGTATTTCACCGGGAATCTTCCAAGGGACACACGCAATCTCAAGTTCRACCCCATTCAATCCTACCCAACAAGTGAGTAATGTGAAATAATGACATTAATGATCACCTGATAACAACGGTTTGTCACATTTTGATGACAGTAATGTTCTTTTTTTTTTTCTGTCGTTAGGAGTTTCCTGCATATTCAAGCTACAGCCAGAGTCAGTACTCTCCCTACTATAACTCACATCACTACAACAGTCCCTACTTAACCAGCAGCAACATCAGCCCCGCGACGATCACAGCTCCWTTAGCTTATCAGCACCCAGAGCATTCTATTATGATGCCCAATCACAGCCCAGAATCACATACAGGTACTTCTTTAATCCTCTTTTTTGTATATTTAGTTTAATTATTTTGTGAAGCGGTTTGTCTAGCAGATCGTTTTTCATCACATGTGCAAAATCATCTTGGAAAAAGAAAACAAAAACAAAACTAAGATATTTCCAGAGTGAATGGAATTTAAATACAGCACCTGGGTATTTTTATTCTGCCATCATGATGTCAGACAGACTACTAGTTCTGAGGATGTTTTTATAAATTCACTACAAGTCTAATGTGCCTCATTGTTTTAGAACACAGTTTAGTTTCTATTAAAACTTTCCTTTTTTTGCAATGTCTCTCTTTGACAGACTAAAAAAACTGAGCCTGTCTTCATTTTAAGATCATTTTAAAACAAGTCTTTATAATAATGCCTGATAAAATTTCACATTTATTGGATTTTTTTACACTGTATTCAGTTAAAATCACAGAAAGACCCAGTTGAAGTGCAAATTGTTTTACAGAGATTTCTGTTTACTTTAGGAGATTACCACCCGCCACCCAGCCCACCAACACCAGGTAAGGAGGAGGTGACCCCAGCACGAAGGGGATCCGATGGCAAGCTGAGGGGAAGAAAAAAAGTTATTGACCCCGCTCCCCCTCTGGACTCAGATATAGAGGTAAACACGTTCTCTCGCACAGTTCTGGAAATTATCATCATTTCTCCCCCAGTATTTATCTTTCTCGCGCTCTCACACGCCCACAGATAAACTGTTGTGCGGTTGACGTTGCGTATCTGTTGTTTCACTACAGCGCGTGTTTATCTGGGATCTGGATGAAACCATCATCATTTTCCATTCACTCCTCACGGGAACTTTCTCCTCACGATTCGGCAAGGTATGACCCTTAGTTTTGTCATTTGCTGTTAAAAGAAACTGTTTTTTAAAAATGAGGGCTTTGCAGCAGTGGATTATGATTTGTTTGTCTAAGAGGTAAAGCCCACCACTTTTGAGTCTCATCCCTGAACATTTTCACACGCCGGCTGTTTTTGCCTTCTGCCCTCGTGTTTCTTTTCTTAATGCACAAAGGTTGTTTAGCTACCCCGACAACCTGCAGCGTGACTGACAGTCAGCGGGACCTTTACATAAGAGACAGGCAGCTGACGAGGGGCGGACAGTGGTGCGTTTCTTGTTTTTGGCCAAGGTTCTGTGTTTTGAATTCTCACGATTGGGTTGACACAAGGCTGATGGGAGTTTGAGAGCGGCGTAGCTGATCAGTTCACCCCCCACCCACCCCGGCAGGCTTTGCATGCTGCTGTTTCTTTTCRTTTTCTTCTCTGCCACACAGAGGGGGGCTGAGCTGAGGGAGCGAGAAAGAGACGAGCTAAGAGTTTAGGCTTTGTAAAAGTGCTGAAATGGGACTTGTGTGCCAAAAATTCCTCCCACGCACCCCGACACACACACACACACACAAACACACACACTGTTGGGTCCAGGGGAGCTCAGTTGGACAGACTCTGACATCAAAACTCAGACATGAGGAAATAAAGGAGTGACGGCGGAAAAACAGATTTCCAGTCAAGTGTGTTAATATGGCTTACAAGCCTCTCTTTTTTACCCCCTTAATGTTTTGTTYCTCTCACCCTTTTGGCAGCTTTCCTTTCTACCTTTACAAGATGAATGTGCTTATTTATAAATTCCCAATTCATTTCCTATCTTCATTCGGCTGCACTTAGTGAGGCAACCTTTTAAACTTTTATTAATAAAAAATATTTGTTTGTAAACAGTAGGGGGTGCAACGATACAGAAAATTCACGATTCAGTTCGGTTTTATACCTTAGTCTCATGGTTCGATATTTTTTCGATACAAAAAAAGAGAAATGTCCATGCCCCTTTTAACTTGTAATTTATTTAAATTAATTATGAACATTTGTTTAACCTCAAAATGCAGTTTTTAAATTAAATGTTGCTGAAACAGCAAGTTTCTCAGTGGATCTGCGCTCGACAATGCAGCCTAGGTGGAGTAGTCGAACACAGATCCACTGATCCTTCAACACAGAGCATCTTCCGAAGACAAGTTGATAAAATAAATTTTAAAAGTCTGTATTGTTCGATACAAGTGTGTATTGAACCTAAAGCACTGTATTGAACGGTTTGATATGGGTACATGTATTGTTGCACCCCTAGTAAACAGCTAGACTGGGCCAAGTCCGAGAAAGAGGCGACAATGCTGTGTTGAAAGACACTTGTTTTCAGTAGTTTTGTGAGCCAAACGTGAATAGAAAACCACACAAGGAACTGACGCTCTCCTCCAATATCATCTCATCTATAATCTCATATATCATGCAACACCAGCTGTATTTTAAATGAAGTAAATTCTTTGCATAAGCATAAAGGTGAGATGTGATGTACTGATGTGTTTTTAGTTTTTGTTCGTTTTCCTCTTTTGGATTTAAAAATAACATTTTTTTTCTGTTTGGTATCAAATTTAAATGTGATTACTGGTCATTAGTTTAATTTTTTAGCCTAACAGAACAAATCCTTTTTTAAACATTTAACCCTTCCCTCTACATATTTCCATTCATTTTTTCCCCCTCATCATTTTCTTCTTGGACTCCTTCCTATTGATCCTACTGAACCTTTGATGCCCTTTGTCTCCAATTACTTCTGTTTTTACCCTCAGTTCAGGTAAGGGATATGTCGTAATTACCCTACTTGTGTCATCAAGCCTTTTTTCCCCCCACTGTGAGCCAAGAGAAAGCCCCTGCTTGTCATTTCAAACGCACTAATGCGACGCTCACCTTTGGCTGACACTTCTCTTCTGTTTTTGTCTCGCTGCCAGGGCTGGCTTTAAAACAATGCACCACACACACCTCCTCTCGCACACCTGCTTTTGTTGTCCCAAACAACCGTGTGCTCTGGCTGTTTGTCAGCCTGTTTGTTTTGATGTCTCCGTTTTCATTTGGCGATGATTTATTATTTGATTTTGAACTTATCAACTGAAGCTGGTGGAATGTCAAGCCTGCCGGCTTGCGGGGTTATGTCTTTGTGTGAGAAAGAGTAAACAGTGTAATTGAGCCTGGGTGGTGATAAGTAAGAAGTTATGTAGATATTTGTTTTATTTGGAAGTCCGTTTGATATGGTACTTCCTCTTGAGGGATTAAATCCACTGTCTGTAGTTTTTCTAAATATGTTTATATGTATATTTTTAGCATTATTGCATCAAATTCCTTTAATTTGCATAATAATCTCTCTAATGCTGAAGTCAGTGTTCTGCAAGAACATTTTAGTATTTTATTGTTAATGTTAAAGGTGTTCATTGTTACAGTGTGATGCCTAAATGTCTACAAATGTGCAACACTTTAGATGAATCTACATGACGACGCACAGTAGCTGTAACAGTACCAACTTGTTCTTATTTCACTCCTTGTGGGACTAAGACTCCCATCGCTGCAGAACTTGGCCCTTTAGAACACCGGCGGGTTCCAGCTGAAGTTATCAGTGGCAACTGGGTGCAAAGCCAGGTTTCTGGTTGGCTCTTGCCGTGTTTATTTGTAGTTGTAACAGCGCAGCGTAATAAAATATACTATGTATTTTTTTAACCAGTTGTGATAACTGAAATACACATATTGTTTCAAAGGTCTTTTCAAACACCGGCCAACATTATGAGGATTCATGATAAAGATAACATTTGGCAGCACCTTTGACTGACAGATGCATATTCACACTCACCTCCCTCCAAAACCTGTTTACGTCAGTCAGCTCGATGAGCAGGAAACTGTTGAAGAAAAGCACGCAGCTGCACTGACATCATGTCAAGAGGAATGATGTTTAATAATTAAGTTTAACTGACAATTCTTTAGATGCCAAACATTTCAGGCAATTAGTGTCAGCCTAAACTGATGCCTTTACGCTTGCTTTAGCCATTTGAAGGAGGCGCCACCTTTTGGGTGATACAGTTTGGCTTTTGTTGCTATTTTTAGATTGTTCAAATCACATTTGCAGACTACAAATCACTTTATTGGGAAAAATTTATCTTGTATGAAACAAGTCTTAAAAGTAAAACTCCGTCCACAGTAAAATAAGACACATGTACATAAAAATATTTAAATCCGTCACAGATAAGTTTACACCACACTTTGAATCTGCTTAAAGGATATGGGTTGTTTTCAGGATCATTTTTGCTTTGCACGCAGAAATAAATAGAAATAGAAATAAAATATCAAGAATCCTAATTCTCCCTGCTTTATTCTGTTCATCAGGACTCATCAAAGGCAGTATCTCTGGGTTTGTGGATGGAAGAAATGATCTTCAATCTAGCTGACTCCAGACTCTTTTTCAACGACCTGGAGGTAAGTGATCAAATTTAGATACATTTCAATAAATAAGGTCAGATTTATAAACCTGTAGGTTTAAAGGGATCCCCGATTAGTTGTAACATTAGACTTTATTTGATAAACATATATTTTAACTGTAAAATAAAGACTGTAAAAATACTGCAGGCTGTTTAGTTTTGTACATTTTTAAAAATATATTTTAACATGGACGGAGCCATTTTATTTACATGCAAAGCATTCTGGGTAAATGATGACATGGGTAGGTCATCGGTGCGAGGCTGCTAGCGAGCTATATCCACCCTGAAGGTTAATCTTGGACAATATCTGATGATTGACTCTTTTAAATGAAACCAGAGAGCGTTGACAGAGAGGAGAAGGTAGAAATGACTCAGCCTGGAACTGAAAATATGGATGGAGGACAACAGAGCTGCTTCATGGAAGAAGATCCTCAGCTTAGCCTATTAGCCTTTGTGCTAGCACTGACGCTACATTGCCTTATATGTATTAGCTCAGTGCTAGCGCGACAAGCTAAACTGAGGTCCTCCATCCATATTTTCAGTTACTGGCTGAGTCATTTCTACCTTCTCCTCTCTATCAACACTCTCTGGTTTCATTTAAAAGAGTCGATCGTCAGATATTAACCTTCAGGGTGGATATAGCTTGCTAGCAGCCTCGCATCGATGACCTACCCACATCATCATTTACCCAGAATGCTTTGCATATAAATAAAATGGCCCCATCCGTGTACTATATTTTTAAACGTTTAGTTTAAAAATTATAAAAACTAAACATCTTACAGTATTTTTACAGTCTTTATTTTACAGTTAAAATACATGTTTATTAAATAAAGTCTAATGTTACAACTAAACGGGAATCCCTTTAAAACTTGTTTTATGGATTATCAGTACAATTAGTATCAGTCTCAAACATGTTGGCTTACTTCGCTCACTTAAATCCACATTTTCCTCATGATTTTTTTTTAAAAGTCATATTTCTTGTAAGACTTTTTCCAGTAAGCTGGAAAACTGGAACTTATGAAAACTACCCAGCACTGAGCTTGCATAACCAGAAAACCTCCCCTGTCACAGTGTATCGAGAGGTTTGACGTTTGGGTCGTGTTTTCTTGCTTGGCACAACGTAATGTGGCAATCATTGCTAGAAAATCCACTCGTGTATCATCTACCTAGTGTTCTTCCTACAGCAATTTCTAAACAATTTTCCCTCCTGGAGTGACAGAAAAGCAAGAATATTAAAAGGACGTTTTTGCAGGAATAAGTGCTCCACAGATAGACCTAATGTGCTTTACTAGAAGTGCACCTAATCTAATTTCGGTATTGATGCAACCTCTGAAAGTGATGACTCAGAAGGAAAAAAAAAGTTGCAGTTTTCTTATCTAATAGTGACTGAACATTGCACGAGTTTTTTTTAACGCACATTCTTCTACCTTGTTCTGATAAAAGGAAAAAGATTATAAAGGAGCCCAGAAAAACAGAACAAGGAAACGTTGTGTTGTAATTATAGGTGTGTGTCTGACTATCCGAAAGGAAAATTAGTCAAATGGGAGGAGGAGCAGCCAAAAGGAGAGGGAAAGGAGCCAACAAAGCCATTTGCAAACTCGGGTTTTATCCCTTCTTTTGTTGTTAGGGCTGAGGAAATCTCTTAACAGTGCCTTGCAGCGGGCTGACAGCTCCTGCTGTTGGATCTTGAGGCTCAATTATCTTGTACTTACTGTTGTCCAAAGCCAACATGTGTTAGAGCTATACAACCAGAAACCAATAAATACATATATGACTGCCTGAAAAATGAATAGTCAGAATTTTTAGCTGAATTAATAAATATAAAGATTGATCACAATGTGGAGATTCTTATCAGTCAGTGTATGTTCAGAAACAAAGAGGCCCGTTTGCATGCAATGGTCAGTGGTTGAAGATCTGAGCCAATGGACTGAATCCCACCTGAGTGGGATGTGGCAACTGGCCAGTGGGAAGTGAGTTCTGCAGCAATGTGAGGACGATGAGGTAGCGTCTCTGTCTGGGTGACTGAAACGTGATAGGAGAGCCTGTCTGTCCTGGGTCATTCCATGACAGCTAGATATTATACCAGGACTCTTTGTGTTGTTGTTGCAAAGATGGTATGTGTGCATTGATGGTTGTGGGATTTAGAAGCTTGGAGCTAATTTCTAAAAAAATAAATAAATAAAGTAAAATAAAGCAGACGGTTTGTTGTACGTGCCTTTTTGTGTTTTTTTTCTCTGCAGTTCTTTTATGACTGACGTTTGTTTTATTTCACCCTATCTAATCCTAATTAACTGTTGTAAAAGAGTTGATTTATTCTCATGTTGCTGGAGGTGTTTTGGCTGTGGCAACAAAATGATTTTAGTTCTCATCACTCTGGTTAGTATGCACTCCTCAGTGCCTTTTGAAGACATAACCTATAAAAAGCATATTTAATTGAATTTACTTTATGGTTACACAATCATTCCTTTATAATTTTAACTCCTTTTGGCAGCTCAGTGTTGGCACCTAGTTCTTGCCCCCGTGTTGTTAATTTCGCTTCCTTTTTTATTTCTGCTGTGCTGTCTCTTTCCGAGGCTCACCTGTCTGTGGAGGCCTTAGCTCTGTAATGAACATCTTGATGGATCCACCTTCCTTCTCATTTCACAGGAATGTGACCAGGTTCATATTGATGACGTGGCATCAGACGACAATGGACAGGACCTGAGGTGAACCTCTACTGTTACTTTACTTACAGATCCCCTGAGTGACTCAGGCAGTTCTTTTGTAATGTGTGAACCAGACGTGCCCTCAGAGTTTTAAGGCACCAGAGCAAAAAAACAGCTWAGAGATGAAACGAGTAGTGAAAGCGTTTGTACGTTCAAGCTTGTGCGTGATGTTTTTTTTTTCTACTTCCATAAGGATATAGGATATCAAAGGATTGTGCAGTGCCTGTATTTCAAAAAAGAAAAGAAAAAGGACAAAAAAAACATATTTCTTTATCATTCCTTTTCATATATATATACAGTGGTTTGCAAAAGTATTCATACCCCTTGAACTTTTCCATATTTTGTCACATTACAACCACAAACA